TTCAATGTTGAAGTGACATTGACATTAGATCTTTTGAAAAATGTCACTACAATTGACCCGTTTTGTATGAGGTCAGAGTTTCAGGATATGTTCATGAAATGTATCTGAACAATAAATTAGCTCTAACTATTACAGGTTTATCTCGAAGTCTATCTCCATAATGGACGGTAACGATAATGGGTAGGGTCAAGCATGCTGAGGAGAACTTGGACCTCAAAAATAAATGACAGAACTTTTAGTTTTCCAGTTTTTGTTACTAACTGGATTGTCTGCATTGCTAAATGCATGATCTGCTTCTGAGATGTTATTTTATTTGTGAATCTTGGGAGCCATGGTAAACCTTCTGTGACTGACAGATGAGATTTTTTCTCACTGTTTTCTTTTTCTAATATTGAAAACTAACGTAACTTTAAACCATATCAGAAGGAAGGGATGGTGAACCTTTACTGAACCTCTATAACAGTGATGGAGCTCTATATTCAATCAGACAATTCTCTAATATAGAAAATGAACATATGTATTTTGGTTGTTGCATCACGATCAGAGCAGAATTTATGCATCGTTTTAGACTCCTGTGAAATATGGAGAACAATATCATTGGTTAATGTTCTGATGACGTTTAACTTCGGTCCAGATGTGAAGCATCTCGAGGATATGTTGCTTCACTCCCTCTTTTTCAAACAACAATTCATTACATTTTTTGTTTTTGTTTTCCATTATTGGCAACATCACCCAGCATTTGTATTCCCAACCACTCCTTCTTTGGTCAAACATGCAGCACCATATGCTCAGCAGATCAAAGAGCAACTGAAAGGCTCCCATGCAGCCAAATTATTTTTTAATGGTATAGAATTCCTCTGGTGTGTTTCAGCTCCCTTCCTTGCATGACCTACTGTAAACCTAAAAGCAATAAATATCCTAAGCATGGTTGTGAATTTACTGCACCTGCAGTATCCACTGCATGGTCTTAATAAGCTGCAGATGGCGGGGCACTTGAATGAAGGCCCAAATACACACTCTTAAAAGAAGGAAATTCTTTGTTGGGTACAGTTTCACCACCTGAGCAGAGCTCTTTCAGCCATAAACCGCTCAGTTTCCCATTCAGTTTGATGAGGGAGTATAAGGCTGAAATTAAAAGCAATTTGGATTTGGTGTCACACTGACCTGGTTGTCAATTACGGAACAGGAAGTAGCTGTCAGAAGCTCTTATGTTTGATCCATGAGGCTGGTGGGAAAATCTGGTGTATAGATGGCCAAATACTAACCTTGTAATGTGCAAAATCAATTTTAAGAACGTGCTAATAAAAACAATGCTAATTAGTGGATCCTCACATTTCTACCATTCAGAAATAGATTCTATTATGTTTTTAATTACATTCTTCAGTGCTGGATAAACCATAAACGTCTGAATCAATGTTGTCAGCCACAGTGACTGCCTGGAACACAGCATTGTGAATTTCCTGAGTCTAATGAGCGCTATTCAGAAAGGTTCTTATTTCTCCCTAGAGTTGTTTAGGAGCTGTCTGGGCAAAGAGGTCAGTATCAGTTAATCTTTGCTTAAAGCTATTTGAACATTTATTAAAGTTCAGGTATGCAGGAAAACAAATCACTGTGTTTGGGTCAGACCTGTGAGTCTGCATGAGCATGCGTGATTATTGGGCAATGGTATGGGCACCAATCTGTGGCTCTCTGCATACACATCCCTGTTTAGTTTTGGCAGGGGAAAGGTTAATGTTTAACAGCATGGTTGGTTCAGCCACTAACGTGTGAACAAAGCACAATGGCTGCACTGTATTGGCTCGTATTTATTCAGAGTCACTTCCTCCCTCAATAGTCGGCTCGACTTTCCTGACAGGGGAAGAAAGTAGGTCAAGGAAAAGTCATGTTTGAGGTAATTCACTCGAGGGGACTGCTTCTGTGATCATTAGATGACACTGGTTAACCCGAAGAGTGAGGTCATATTCAAGGCAACGTTACACCCAGAATCCTTCCTGACTGGTAGCGTGTCTGAGACATTTTATTGTGTACAGAATAAATCAAACGAAGGCGATCAGTGAGAAGAACAGCTTGAAAAGAAAGACATGATTAATGCTTACAAGAAATCAGAAGTTTATTTCAACCTCCAGCTTTGTTTTCCGCTGCTGTGCTCAAATGAAGGTCACTTTTAAGAACTTTCTGCTTTGATGCAGGTGAACAAAAGATCCAATATGACAAATCTGTTGGAAGATATTCTTGAGTTTTGTGCTGAATGATTTACGCCAAAGACGAAGCTAGTGTAGCTATTTGTGTTAAGCTTGTGGGGATTATGCTGCATACTAACAGAACTTTTGGATCAGACATTGTTTCATCCATAAAGTAGCCTGGAATGTCTGTTAGTTGAGACATAATGCATTCTTTTTCCTCTTCAACGGTGTCCTAAGTGTTTCACTTCATGACTCTTTTAGAATCTTATAAAACAGACTTTCTGGTCAGCATTTATCATTTTGCCAAATAAGGAATAATGTCCTGCATGTTTTCAGAATGATACAAGGAATTCCCACCTCCTTTTTATTCATACCATCTGTCTCTGGAGTCACACATTAAAGAATCATATACTTTTCACATTATTCATAGGGAGATTGTTTGCTAGAGCCAACAGTAATAGAGATGTAATTAAAAGCATGTCACTATGATGGAGGGCCAAGCTTTAATCTCATGAAAGCTATTGGCTTCTTTCCTCCTCAGCCAGCACGGCGTGTAAAAACTGCCGATCATTTTTTTATGTTGAAAGTTTATGCACCACAGTCAAAAGATATTTAAAAATAAAATCACATTTCAACAGAATCCATTTACTATCATTGCATCAATAAATACACTAAACAGCATAAAAAATTGCAGCATTTTTGAAAGACAAAGAGGGATGAAAAAAAATAAAGCTATTGGACATCTATTTTGTAGCCTTGAGGGAAGCTTTTTCTTCTGCACAAAATGGTAGCATGTATTTGGTGAGGCCTTTTGTACTACAGGCCAAACTCCTCACGCATTTATGAAAGAGCCTGTTCATTGAGGAGTCATGCCCGGGCTTTGTTTTCCTTTGCATCTGGCACATTCAGCCTGTTCCCTCCTGGATCATCACCAAACCCAAATGAAAACATCAAAGACATACTGTCAATAAAGAAGAATCGGTTAATTTTTCAGGAATCATTTTCGTCATGCCTCAACTATCCCACTTTTTCTTTATTTTAGAAAGTCTCAGGAGAAATTCCAAGCGGGGATCAAAAGGAGCTTCATCATTTCACTCGAAGTCACTATGAAATTTAACATTTAGTTATAAGGATATTTGTTTTACTCTTAAAATAAAGCCTGAAAAAATATAAAATATACTTCACATTTACTTTTAATTACCCATATCTATCTCAGTAATCCTTCACTGAATGTTGATTTCTTCTTTACCAACTGTAACAGGTTAATACAGGACTTTGGGAATTTCTTCATAAATCGAGATACTGTCCACAGAACGCTGTAACACTTCAGTTTTAGAGCATTGAATGTTGCTGACTCGACAAAGTATTTGTTTATCTTTTACGTTATTTTTTTTGTTTGTTTCTTAAGTATACCAAGCCAAGTTGTTAAACAGCTACAGTTTGAAAACCATCATGATTCTCTGTTTTACATTTCCTACAAAGTCTGTTAACTGATTCACAGAGACCACCTGAGTGACTGTAGAGTTTCACCAGGAATCTTCTTCTCATATGCTGCTATGCAGATGATATTTAACTGTACAACTTCTGCAGGCATCAAAACTGCAGGCTTTAAAAAGCACACAAGTGTTTCCCTAGTAAATGAAGACAAATCTGAAGTTCTTCTTCATGCTCCAGAATAACATAATGTGACTCTTCGTCCTCTTTTGCAAAATCTTCCATCAGGAGACTGGAGGAAATTCTGACCACTTCAACTTTATCTGGTTATGTTCAGTCTCTGGTCATTAACTTTTATCAGTTGTGAAAAATTGCTAAGCTCCATAATATCTGACAACACAAGATTGAAATGATTATCTATCCACTGGTTTCTTCAAGATTGGATTACTGTGATTTATTTTTCACCTGCATTACTGGATCATCTGCAGGTTGCACAGAATGCTTTAGACATCTGACCACATCACAGACAGTTTGTCACATCACACCAATAATCACGTTGGCTTGTTAATGCTTGGAGAAACCCCAATTAACTCACTATGCCATAATTTGTGGTTAATTGACTGTTTGATCATTTGGGAGAGTTTATAGAATGTGTATTCTATAAATTGGATTAGACTTTCAGCTCCTGAGTATAAAAAATCTCAACATGTTGCAAAGTTTTGATGCCGTATGTCCCACACTATTCCTACAAAATCAATGCAAATGCCAACTATTCTCATCACATTGCATAAAAACCAACTGTCCAGGAGTTGCTCACCTCGGCATGCCGACTGTCCAGAGCAGTTCAAACTGACCCACATCCTGTTTGCACTGATATTTATTTTAACCAATTGGAGACATTATTAGAATCTAGTTGAGGCGTTGAACTTTCACCTCCAGATTAATATGCATTAAAAAATTAAGAAGCCTGCTTTATGCCATCCAGGATGGAACAACATCCTGGATGGCATAAGCGAACAAAACAAATAGATCTTTTAATATAAGCTCAGATATCACTGTCATATTTTCTTATATATGTTAAGCTATATATTATAGATCGACCAATAATAGCAATCACATTTGATCTGTTTTCCTGATGAAGTTTAAGTTTTCATTTTTCTCATAATTGTTTCAAGTTGTTTAAACTAAAAGCGTAAATTGTTAGGAAAACTAAATAAGTTTAGATTTATGTTGTGCTTCGAATTATCCAACAAAATGTTTATACAACCAAACCTGAATGTGTTTTTTATTCTCTTATAAAAAACAACATCGAGTTCATGTGAAATTAAAGACAGCCTGGTCTCAATATGCATCTCGAGCAAAAAGACTCTTTATTGCACAGGGGGAAAAGGTTAGTCATCCATTTATTATGCTGTCAAATGTCCAGGAGGACAGTCCCTCGCTTGAGCCCATTAACCTCCTCCTGGTTCTCCTGATCATCTCGTGTATTAGACTCCTGCGAGAATACAGAACGCTCATTAGAGATACACAACACATTCATCTTAACAGGGACCTGTCATACATGAAGCAAGTAAACAACTTTTTAATAAAAGCAGCAATCAGTGAGAAAATGAGCTTTTTGAAGATAAATTTCAGACTGTTTGAAGGATGTAGAAACAACTTTTTACAGCAGAAGAAAATCTAGAAAAAGTCATTCAAATGGAAATGTAACATTGCTTTTCTGACCAGATTTTTCTCATAAGCTAATTGTGATAACATCATTATTAGAACTCGATCAATTATTGTTCTTCATACTAATTTCACCAGAGTTTTTTGACAAAGGTGCTAAAAATGAAAATAAGTCCTTCTATAAACACCAAAACTTCATCCCACGAAATAATACTCTGTTTTAAAACGGATTATGTGAATTTAACATAATAATCATGTACACCACCTTCTAAACTTATTGGCACCCTGCTAACGATGTGTTAAAAAACTCAATCAATGTATTATTTATTGAAGCAGTAGAATGTCACAATCTGTAATTTATTACATTCATTTTGTTATGCCTGTTATGTTTCCTATAACACAGGAGTAACAGAAAAACTTTATTAATTCTTTACCTGTTTTAAATGAAAGTTTTTAACATTTAATTTAATTTCCTCATGACTTCCTTCTCCTCTAGTTTGTACGTATATATTTCTTCAACATGCCATTCATAAGATTAAATAAGTTCATCTTCACAGAGACAAGAACATTTCCACTCTCAAGTTATCTGCTAATGCAAAGGAGACAGACAACAGGACTTACACTCACAATGAATTTAATGAATATCATCTTCATTATCATTATCTTCTTCATCATCGTATCCTTTTTCCAGACACATAAAAGGTCCATAGTAAAGAGATTAAAACACACACACACACTACATACAAACTCAATTTTATTAGTGAGGTTGTGTTTCCACCAGCAAGGCTTGTAGATGAAAATATCCTTTCAGCTGTTTTGCTATGAATCCCTGGCAAACTGAGTGATTAAAAGCCCACAGCAGATAAAGTGGGCTTTATTAAACCCAACAGACTACGCCACATTTAATTTACGAAGTAGCCAAGTAATTTACTAATAATGTGTGTTTAAAGATGAACTTACATGTAAGGCACCGATAATTTAACGATATCTGCTTGCATAGTTTAATGTGAGAAACACATATTTTAGTTAACGTTCTGGATTTCCTGAGGGAGAGTTGAGAAACGTATTAGCATGTTTGAATTAGAATCAAATATGCTAATTTAAAAAATTCATTACCAAAGGAGTAGCAGGTGAGACATAAAATAGAAATAAAATAATGAAAACTTGATACTTTTTTGAGCAAACAATCAGGATACAGTTTGCTTATTTATTCAGGTATAGATTTCACACTTGGTCGCTTTCTATTTGCTCTGTCACTTACAGTCCTAAATACTTTGAACTCTGTCTTTATAAAGGTTTAAGAGATGTGAATACTTCACAGGGCACCATGCATGATGGTAGTTATCTGATCTGATCTGTCAGTCAAACCAGAATTTGTTAAAAGCCAACATAAATCAAATATTTGCTTTCCGTTTCAGGAGTTCAGGAATCCCTTCAGGAAAAAGTCTTAACTGTGTCTGGAGAGGGAATGATCCACAGCCCAGACTTCCCACACACTTATCCCAGGGATACCATGCTGGTCTGGAGACTGGTGGCGGCCGACAACATGAGGATCCAGCTCACATTTGACAAGAACTTTGGCCTGGAGGATCCTGAAGATGGAATATGCAAGTAAGACAATAAAGTCATGATGTGATATTTAAAAAGGTCCCCCTTTACATCCCATCCAATGATGAAAAAAAAAAAAAAAAAAAAAAAAACACAATTAAAAAAAACAAAATCACACACATTAAGAAATATAGCTATTCTTAACATAAAAGACCACATTGCACATTTGTTAGAAAATTAACAGTTTTGGTCGACGACCATCACACATTGGCTTTCCTCAAAGGCATGTCAGATACATGTTGTTTGGTGAAAAAAAGAGAAGCATGTCCCATCTGGATTGTTGTCCCGTCTTTAAAGATTTAAAGTTGGTGTGTGGCCATTTGTGAAATTGCCTTCAGCCTGCCACATCAGGCCCTGAATATCGAAAACTCCCACAGCAGAGTGATTTGTTCTGCCTGAAACGCCTCAATGACGTTGATCAGAACATCATATTTCACATGATGAGGTCGACAGTTTCAGCTGCTTACTAAATAGTTTGAATGACACGCCCTGAATGGAAACATACAAACACAACTGCATACCACAGTATATCATCAGCTTCATTGACTTTCAGTTATTGGTGGGCTTCACTTCTGTTGTCATTCAGTTTAAATGGACTTCCCAATTCCTAATGATCGATTTATTTGGTCTGCTTAAAACTCAGTGCCGGGATGTCTGTGAATCACTGGTTGGAGAAGTGGAGCTTTACTAGGGAAACGTGGAGTAGACAGGAGGATGGAGAGCTCGGTTGAAATACCTGGAGAGCCCTCTAATGGATGATGAATGGAACTACTGCTTCCATCGGAGCTGTAAAAGTTGTCAGGTCATGTAATAAAACAATTCACCAAGGTGGAATAAATACTATGAAGCTTTAAATACAGCATGTCCTCAAAATATAGCCGATAATAGGAGGTGTTTTTATTCCGGTTCTGATCTTGATCCAGAGTCTTGTTAAAACGGTGCTGCAGGTTTTCACTGTGGATGTCGAGCCTTTAGCTCAACATCACTTTTCATTTTTATGTGTTCATTTGCTGCTGACTGAAGGAACCCACACAGCTCTGGATCCACACACCTGTGTAGTTCTTGTCTTGTGTAAACAGGACTGATGTCCTGTTTACACAAGACATCAGTCTTGCCGTCAAAACCCTGAGAGTGAAAGTTGCTCCATGATTCAGAGTGCAGACTAACAGCGCTTGTGCTGTCCCTTCTTTACCAGCCTGAACATGTCATAGATTTTAGAGACCATCGTAAGAGACAATAACATCCTTTTCCAGGTCCAGAGAAGTCAGCACCTCACCATCACCTTCCTCCCCCTCAACTCAACAGGTTTTGGACAGATGCCAAGATGCAGACTCCTGGCAGCGTTGGCAGGCTGAATGAATGTACAGGAAATGATGTACATTTACAAACATGTTTCAATGTCTTTTTTCTTTCATTCCCTCAATTTCTTCATTTCTACTCCACACTCAAACATACATACAAACATATCCTCCTGGCCGTTTCTTCTTTTATATCTGTGTTTAAAAATGTATTCACAATTTTTTTTTTCCCTCAGACATTCCTAACACGGCTGTTAGAGGAAAAAAAAAAACAATCTAACACAAAGCTATTGATGCCAGGCATTTACCTTCGTGTCACTGCTTTGTGATTCAAATAAACAAGCATGCCGTGTCCTATGCAGTGATCCACAGCAATGACAGGGGCCAAAGCAAACAAGCAGTGGGAGACGTGTTCAGCTCCGGTTGCAAGCCTGGAGCAAGATCTGTGTGTTAAGATGTGAGAAAGGGGCTGTATAGTTGAGATCCTCATCTGCTATTCTGTTTGTCTGTGGCGAGATGAAAAGCATTCTTACCAAATCCACTGGAGGAGAAGCATATTGAAGAGGGATTGCTCTCGCTGCTGGTTGGCATGGCAGCAGAGTCGTGCTTGTCAGCTCCCAGACACGACTGTTTCCAGAAATGCATTTGTGCCCTGTGTCTTCAGTCTGAAAAGAGAGGACTAAAGAAAATGTGTTTGTTCTGTTAATATGCGTCATTGCCGTGGCGGATTCTGTCTATTAATAATTGACGAGGTGAAAACAGCGTAGGAGAAAGCTTTTTGAATATTAAGTACAGTTTACTGCACACTGCTGCGTGCATAAGGCATCGTTTTCATTTCAAATTTTTATTTAAAAATATTTCAGTTCTCAACAGTTTATGAAGTTTGGTACATTCAGTTTGTCAGTGCTCTGGATAATCTGAGAAAAAAACTACTGTTTAACATGGTGAGTCTGAACACATGGTGATGCGTAATGATCAAGCAATTCTGCATAATTGATAAGCCATCTGTCAGAACCAGGGATTTGTCAGAGTGGCAAGTTTTAGAAAAAGGCTTTTCCTCAGGAACATTTCACAATGTATAAAACAGAAAAAGGTATAAACTGATGGATTCCAGATGAAGTTAAAATGAATGTGTTTTTGCAAAGGATCAAGGATGCAACTTGAGTTTTTCTGATAGTTTTTTTTTTTTTGTTCAGACAACAGCTTGCAGTATATGCAAATCCCCAACTAAAACGGTGGAAATTAAAACGTTCACCTTCAAAGAAAACTCAGTTAAAGCTTTGCTCATGTCAGAACAAGTTGTTTTGTAAAAATAATTTTGAACTGAGCCTGCAGGAAAAATAAACAATATACCTAAAATCTAAATATCCAAATTGACAGCAGTAAATGAGAGGTTAGCGCTTCTGTTGATGCAAATGGCAAAGTGATTAGGAGTCAGAGACGGCTGAAGTGGAGGCAGTGCAATCTCCACAGGAGTATTAATAATAAAATGCTGAACTCCTGAACTGCAGTAAACAAGAACTGGAGACACTCAGTGTTAGCACTGACACAACAAATGAGACTGGATTGGGGCTAAGAGCATCTGCACCTTATACTCTTTACTGGATTTATGGGTTTAACAGGTTGGCCCGTGGAGAGAAATCTCTGTAAAGATACAAGATGACAAAGTTCTACAGAGCAACCAAGAAAAGCATCTTTTGGCATTCAAAAATTTCAAGAGATGCTTTACGTTCATGATTTAAGCCAGAAAACACCATATTTCAACATTTTAACTAAACTTTCTTACCAGAATAAGCAACATTATGACTTTCTACCATTTTCTGCCCCACTCTCCTAGATATGACTTTGTGGAAATAGAGGATCCCACTGAGAAGACGATCCTGGGTCGTTGGTGTGGGTCACAATCTGCACCAACAAGTCAAAAATCCAAAGGCAGCCAAGTTATTGTTCGTTTCATATCGGATGAATACTTCCCCTCTGAGCCTGGATTCTGCCTCCACTACTCTCTGCTTCCTGTGGTAGGTAAAACATCAGTGAACAGGAGTTGAAGAATGATCATTGCGGGTACCTAAACCATTTATGCCCACCCGGGGAATTCACCTGACAATAAGCGATGTCACTCTGTGCATGCACAATGAAAAATCATCTGCTTGGTATACCCCACATGGTGCCTTGATTTGCAATAATCTATTTCTGACTCTTTGGTCTCAAGGTTTTATGTATCATTGGGGAGAAATTATGTTTAAGTTATGTTGGAATGTAGCAACATCTGGTACATGTACTTCCATTTATTACAGCTGTAAAGATCACCAGACTCCACATCACTGCACACACATTTACAGAAGCAGTCAAATAAACAAAAAGAAGTCAACATGTGCTGCAAGGAAATTACTGACAACAATTTACTTGAAAATTGGCTTTTAGATGTTAGACCCGGAAAATTACCGATGTAACTAATACACTGAAGTTAATGTTGTTTTGATATATTGCATAGTTTTGAAAGCAGAGCCAACTTTATCTAGGATTTCTTTTAGCAGAACAAATTCTGATGCAATGCATAGACTCTTGGGAGAATTTATTCAGCGGACTGAAATAAAATGTATTGAGCGTTAAACGCTTTATCCATATATAATTTTACTGAAGAGAAATTACATTTGCTCCATTTTCATAGCCTTTGCCAAAGTTGAATACAAAGTCATTCATCCATTTGGTGAATTACTTTATATTTCATACAATTCAAACTATTTGACAAACTGAGAGCACATGCCCACTTTTAAAGTGGGTAGCGGGTGCAAGATTTTTACATTATGATTTTACAAAGAATGTCAAAATGTTTAAATAAACTGAAAAGAAGAAGAAAACATGTGACACATTTGAACATTTTGCATATAGATAAATCAGGTGATTTTTGTCTTCATCTGTCATCTTTTCATTTATTTTTGTTCCTCTGCAACTTCTTTCCCTCAGTACAGCAGACCACACACAGCGATGCATGCTCCCGGTCCTTTTGTCCCGGTTTAAACCCAGAGATAAACTCAAGAGACAACTGCTACGTTTCAACCTGTCCTGCTCTGTTTACCTGCTTTAAGTAAATAAAGTTATGCATTAATCCCTATTGGTTGAATTGAGCAGAAGTAGATAGGGTTAGTGTAAGTGCATTCTAATACTTATGTAACTTTTATTCTGCTTCTTTTATTGTTGCCTCACCAATCTTTCTACATTAAATCCCACATCAAGATTTATGACGGGAACATGAACTAAGAAGGAGTTTGTGGATATTATAAAAATTATACAAAGGTCACGGTGTACTTCACACTGATAAAAGAGCAGGGCATTGAAACTTTCAGCAGGAAAAGATAAAAGCCTGCACTGTTACTTCTTGCTATAGTGAAGATTCAACTGAACTTGCCTGTTTGATGGGTTAAAACAGGATAATTAATCCAGAAATGTAATTCTCACTTCTTTCAAGCTCTACAGAAAGTTTATGTATTAATCAAAATAAGTTATTCATTATTGTGGATTTTTGTAGCAGAATTGTGATCTAAAAAGACAACACCTGCAACACAGTGACTGCAGGTGCAACTCAAATCTCCCAGTGACATTAATTAAACTCATTCAGAGTCACATAAGGAACTCTGCTGTGATGAAGACTCCTTTACCTCAGCATGTGGAATGATGTTGGTGATGACTCAGCAGAAAAGTCTGAACTGTTTTCTGATTCTTTCAGAGAATCAATAACCATTTAGTGGCACTTAAAGACAGCATACATACCAATAAACTTCCAGTCCAAGATGGTCAAGCAATTTATTAAATATGCAAAAAAAAAGAAAGGATTAACTCATCTTTTCTACTTCGCTTCACCTGAGCACCAGATAGTTTGAACTTGGATGCAGTTGGGTTTTCCTCCACATAAACGATCCTAAACAGGCATCAAAGCTGGTTTTGGAATAGATAAAACAGACAAATATTCAGCTTCTCTATTCACTCAACCCCACTGAAAATTTGTTAATTATGGGTAAAAGTTGTATAGCTATAAACCTGAGTGGATTAAAGAATATTCCCACTAAATTTCACCTTATACTTTTAAAATTCATTAAATCAGCTGTTTTATTATCTTTTATACAAAAACAGAATGATTCAAAACAATTATTAAAAGCAAAAACAAATAAAACGTCCATGTTTTTAAACCTTTAACATTTTGCATGATTGGACCTGATGCTTTACAAAATCTGCTTCCTTTCTTTATGCTCAGATCCACTTAAAAATTATTCATCAAAATGATTCACCAAAATCTTCAACAAAAAAAAACAGCTTGACTGCAGCTACACGGACAATCTACGGACAATTTCAAATGATTTATCTCCATTACTAAAATAGCTTTAAAATAGTGAACAGCTTCGTCATTCGAGACAAAGTTTTTCTTTCATAGTCAAACTGTTAAAGGTGCAGGAAACCATTTGGGAGAAAAGGAAAGCTTTGGGCTTCAAATGCTCAGTTTGTCTCCCCTTTGAACTCGTGTCCGACAGAGGAGGAGCCCGCTGAACAGCAGCGCTCTGTGTTTCCTCTGTGGTCAACCAGCAGCTACTGGAACCTCATGCCACGCAGAGGCCAGCTCTGTAGTTTCTATTTAAACAAGCAATGATTCCACCCTACCACTTCCATGGAATGGGAAGAGGGGAACAAAATAAAACTCTGTCTGTAATCCACAGGAAGAAATTTTAAGAAGAAAAAGAAACAGTCGAGGCAAAAAGGTTGTGAAAACATGGAGGAGAAGGGGCCTGTTGAATGGAGCGTGACGGGCGCTGAGTGGTGGGCGTTGTGGGTTAAGGGAGCAAACAAAACATACATCATTGTCTTGGGGTGCTGAGGTCTCAATCCAGAACTGAGCGGCACTGGCCCAAGAAATCACTCAACTGGCTTGTTTTTTAAGGGATAAAAAGGAGTTGTACGCAGCTGAGACGAAACAAATGCAGGTTTATTTAAATAGTGGCGCATGCTGCGCAGAGCTCATAAGATCTATTTAGTAAAAAACAAACAGAAGCTTTTGAGAAAGCTTCTGTGTAAAACTTGGTTAAAAATCAATGCAGGAGTCTTCTTTGCCATGATTAAACTAAGGTCTGTTTTTACACTGACCTTAATTACAGTTTATTATGTGTAGTGAAAGAAAGTAAACTACTTTTTCGTGTACAGAAAACCTTGATGCTTACTCAAAGTTCTGTTGTGCAGGGAAGTGGTTTGCAGCTGCATGTGAAAGAATATATTGTTTTCAAAAGCTTTCCCAGGATGCTATTTCAGAATTGTCATCTCAACATGGTCAGTTGAACCTGTCATTTTAGCTACCAGGAATAAGATTATGGGCTTTTGCGTGAGAAGAACACCGAGTGTGGAACACCGCTTGGAAACGGGCCTGTTCTCTGGGGTCAGAGGGCAAAATGTTCCACTTTCATTCTGGCCCGATAAACAGAAACGCTCAACTTTTTACAACCAGCACACACTTGCTAAACCAAAACAATATCCCTGCTACTCTTTGATGCTTTTTAGTATCTATATATTACACCTGGCAGAATTGAAATTAATATCTTTTAAAGAGCCTCAAGAAAACATTGTGAAATGGGCCTATCAAATTGAATTAGTGATATAATATACCTGATTGATTAC